CAAAATTCAATGGTGACAGAGGTCAGGGATATACAAAGGAATTATTTATAGGTATAACAATACCGGTATAAAAAAAATTGACATCATTTGGATAACATAACAAAAATGTCCAACGTCAAGTCCAGACCAACATTCCAATACCTGCCTACGTTACAGCTTAGGGGGATACATCAAAAACATTGTTAGTGACAAATATATCTTTGATCTGGACACTGCTTAATAACCAACAACTAATAATTTGATAAACAGATTTATAGCGAACGCAACAAGCTATAACACTTAAATAATACTCTTAAATAATTCTTAATAATAATATGACATAATACAATCATTAATTAATAATGAGAATGAGTGCAACAGAGTTAAAAATGATGTAGGTAACTATAAGTATGCAAACATATTTTTAGAAAAATAATAAAAAATGTATTAATTTTTTTTTTATTGATTTATAACTTCAGCTAATGCCATTAATTTTTCCACATTTTTATACAATGTTTATGTATAACATTAGATAATATAATTTATTTTTTACTATTTGTATACATAAAATATTAATTAATAATTATTATAATATGTACATTGGGACTTGGAAGAATAAAATTGCTAAATTTGCTTGTCCAGCCCGCTCTCCTCGAGCAAGGAGATACGGTCACCCGAATTTTTATAATACAATAATTGTATACCTACGTATAAAACATAAGATATTTGTTATTATACCTCAATCTAAACCGAACTTATAAGCATTTTCCAAATTCAAAGTAAAAAAAAGTAAAACTTTTGTTCGGAATTATGTTTCTATTATTACTATGTTGTTAGCTGTTTTTATCATACTAAGCCGAGAGAGACAACAGTGGTTGGAAAACTGAAAATCTCCACACGACGTGATGGAAATACTCAACATTTTTAATCAGAAAATGTATTATCCTCTTTTTCCAAAATCACACGACATTTATTGAAAATAATTTTGCATTTTATAACACGTGACTTAAAATTAGATTACCTATTATCCTACTGTTAAGACCCTGTGTGGTAAAAAAAAATAAGATAACAGCAATAACCTAGATACTCTAAAAAGTCTAAAACAATGAGATTCATTTTTCAAATAAACTAACCTAAGTAGGTACCTAGTATAATAATATAACGATAACTATGTGTTTTAAAATACTGCAATCGGTACCCTTATTTCTATTAATTTTGTTACATAACTTATGGTATCAACACTCGGTAGGTATAGGTATCCCATTTTAAGGGTTTTATGTTTCACTATGAGGACTGAGAACTATTACTATACCGAGTGTACCGATCGATTAAGTGATGAGATTAAATTAATCAATAAATCTATGGCTTAACTAAAATCTGTTTTTCCACTCGGTTCACCGAATTCAATCAACATCTGAAAAGTCTTATATAATTTTAGACTACAAATAAGGGGAACTTCTATATTTGTGTATATTTGAGAAAGTGGGAAAGTATAAATTCATTAACTCCAAAATTAATTTAAATTTGTTTTCAGTTAAATAGAAATGTTTGGGTAACAAACAGAAAGTATAGGTATTGAATGATGATAAATTATGTATAAATTTAGTTCCAATTACAAACAAATTATCTAAGTTTGAATATACAATTTATTAATTAACAAGTGCTTAGAGAGAATATTATTTAGTGCTGGTTAAGGTGGTTAAACAAATGTACATTGGTTAATACATAAAACAAACATTTAATTTAAAACTAGTGGAATAAAAATTACCAGCCAATATTATTCAAAAACCATGTATGTTTGAAACAATGATTTGAGTTAATATTAGTGTATTTTCTCCTGTATATTTCAAAAGAATACATTTTCATTCAATCTTTTGATATATAAACTTAAGAAGGATAATCTCCTTTTCGACATCGTTTTTACAATATTATGTTCATTTTATTGAAGTGTATGTATATTGTACAATGCAAATTTAAATTATTGAGGTAATATTCGATGTAAAATTATTTATCAACAATATTTTCAAAAAAAAATTAGAAATGTGTTCCCTAATGATATTCCTTTAGCTACTTCAAAAAGCCTATAGTTGAATTGGAAGGTATTTTAATTCAAACATAATTAATAGATTTGTAAATGTATTGACGCAATAATTTTATTTTGGATTTTTTTTATCAAATCCTTAAGAAAACGATTAACGAATACGTATACGAATACCAAATGGAAAACCTTAGGAAATTAAATAACCACATATTCAGGTTAAAAATCACGTGTCTTTGAATCTTTCTTATTTTTACGTTTGCATAATATTTTCTTATTGGATTATTAGATTTTTATTTTTTTGCACATAGACTATCAATTTTTATTTTATAAAGCTGTTAAAATATTGACTATTTTTTTTTTTTGCTAAATTTTATTATGTTGCAAAATGAATGCTTGTAAATCATTTGATACATAAAACACTTAAGAACAACAATAAAAATCGAGGTTTTGTAATATGCAATGAAAATAATATGTTCGTATCATATACAAATATACAATATATAGTTTATTTAGAGAAATACTTCAACTGAAAAATGATAAAATATTTAATATTATAAGAAAACGTCTATTTGTTATTATGTAGGTACAGTATATGAACTCAAATAGATATATGAACTCAAACCACTCAATCACAATCTCCATGCAATATAAATGTCTACTTACTAAAGCAATACTCTCTCCATTAGACTGTAAAGTTTAGATTCTAAAATATAAATTCGGCGGTTGACACTTAAATATTATTGTAATCTACGAATATATGGCTTATATAATACTATCCTAAAAACATATAAATAAAATATACGTATTAAGCCAGTTAGTGCGTATCATTTACACATCAACAATTTATAACTATAAAGTGTTACTGATTAATGAATATAATCGGTAGAGATTTAAATAGTAATACATAAAGTATAAACACATAATACATCACACGAAAAAAAAATCGACTAGAACTGTTGTTGTATTCGTATTTCATTTAAAAAAATTTGATCATTCACATCAGTGACACTATTGGCGATTCATAATAAAACAATAAATATTATAAGTTCACAAAATAGGAATATGCAATGAAAAATCCGATCAAAAAGCTTTCATTGCGGCTCACTAAGTAGTATAGATATAGGGTCCTGGGCTCAATTTTTTATACGATCATCGGATCATGAAAAAAGATAAAGCACAACATTTATTATTTATTTATTTATTTATTACTATTCCCCTTAGTCGTCACAGTAGGTACAACCAATTTCCATGGAAATTATATACACTTGAGTACTTGACTGATAGTTGAGTCTATAAACGTATAACCATGATAGTTGTACCTATACACTTATACACTTACAATACAACGTATTTTCCTGAATATTTTTTTAAATAATATAAGTTCACAATTTTCCGAGATAAATAAAAAAAAATTTTTTGATAACTAAGTAGTAGGTACTTATAAATTATAAAATAAAACATGATTAGTTAAAAACATTTAGTCAGTAAATCAGTTACTAATGATTAATGAACCGTTGTTCGGACACGTTGTGTTTTATTTTTAAATTTTTCCAAACACCATTAAACATTGAACTGTTTTTTACAATTATTTTCAATTTTTATAAAAACATATATTTACAGACATTTTTCAACAATTTTTCATCACTAGTTTATTTAGTGCAAAAACATTTTAAGTTCAACATAATATTGTATAGAATAATATTATACTACATTTTTAATAAGATTATAAACATAATTCCTCAACCTCGTTTCAAAGTAAAATATATTCATTATCTGAATGTGGTTTTAAATAAACAGGAAGAAACAGGAACAAGAGATATCGTGGAATTATTTTTTTTACGAACTCGTCTTACATAAAAGGAAAAAATATGATATTCTGTGGGTTGAGCACATCAAATAGATATTTGTATTATTTTCTAAAGGAAATCAATTTATAGAAAATGTAAAAAAACGATTGTGTAGGTGAATTAGTGTTTGTGATTCTATTTAAGACTAAATCGTATAATGGTATTGGTTAGTGTGCTTCTATATAATATATATTTATTATCCTTCATATTTTTATTTTTAATTATTAATACAAAATCTGTCTAACCAGTAAGCACAATAAGAGGATGGACTATATAAAACTTCAAGAAAACTTGAATAACTTGATTCAAGAAACCCATTGACGATACTTATCCTTAATATTTAAAATAAAAAATAAACACTAGCCATGTAACGCTTTTATTAATAATAATGTAACATACTATTTTTAAAAAATTAAAGAACAAAACAAAAACTTTTATTTGTGTTAATCATTAGGATTTGAATTATTATATGAATATAATATTTAGATATGACTTTTTATTTCAACTCGAGTTAGAACATTATAACCTCTAAAATATATTACAGATTTACAGACTATATCAATCGCAACGAAACATGGTCCGGATGAATTACGGTTCTACAATAAACGGCCTTTAGGTTTAACCTCCTCGGTTATCTGGTCCGTTCCAATGTTCCATAAAGCCGGATTCACAGCTACGTTATGTGTCGAATCGTAGTGTAATTGGATACTACTTTGTTGGTATCATGTAATGACCAAGTTGCAACCGAGCATACCCAGAATTTACTACGGCTCAAATTTTAAACCAATATGGTTACCAGTTATAAGCTGAAAGTTGTAACCATAGTAACCACGCCCTCGCACGACGTACGTCATACGACGTAGCTGTGAATCCGGCTTAAGACGGGTTTCCACTATAGGTACACGTGTACTTGCATGAAAATCCTTTGCTTCGATTGATCGTTTAGGTTAAGTTACCACACGATTAACCACGATACCGCGGCGTTGTTGGACACAGCCGAACATTTTTCGTGTACACGGCCAACGCGTATAGAGGAAACCAGCATTTAACTGAGGCGAGTTGCCGGTCCTGTAAACGAGCGTGGACGACTGCTGTCTGCCCGTGGGGATTCGCAGGGCCGTTTTCAAACTAGGTCAAACTCCCACCAGGGCTGCACTACACTCAATCTCGACCGAACTAAAACGCACTGAAATGTTTGACATTGAACTGGAATGTCGTCTTCTCCTCGGTGGACCCGCGAGATCGCTGATTGACTGCACGTCCACTTCAGCCGGTCGAACCTGCGGCATTGGCGAGATGGACGGCGGCGTCATCCTCTTGACTTCTACGGCAACAGGCGTCATTGCTGCCGTGTTCACCGATGAAATATTATAATATCGAAACATTGAACTGGCGTAATTTCTCAAGAAGACTTCGGTCGGGTCACTGGACGGCTCCGCCGAAACCTTTTGCGTCCGCGAGTCGTCGTCGTTGGGGGACGGTGAATCGATCTGACCCTGCATCGAAGCGGCTGCAGGCTCCAACTCGATATCGGGTGTATCCAGTGTTGTAAAGTACTTGAGTAAAAGTATTCAAACAGTTTTGAAAAAAGTTTTTTAAATACTTACTCAAATTATCTGTATCTATTTAAAATGCTCTCCAAAATAAGTATCTGTATCTATATTTGAATAATTAACAGAATATTTTTACGAGACTGGCGTACATCTAAAATCGTTATTCCATCATAAAGACTTAATTTTGTCCAAATTTGAATTTAAAATGTTTGTAAAAAATAACTGTGTTTAATATATATTTTTAGATTTTTGGCTATACTATGACCTATTTATGAGAATCTTTGTTTTAAATTTTTAATCCATAGGTAGGGAGTTATAAAAATTGAACATTTTATCATTTTTTTTAATTACAATAATTGATAGTTTTCTATGAAATTTTAACTTTAAACGGTTATAAAAAAAAATGTGCATATACGTATTTTTAATATTTTTTAACTGATATTGTAGCAATATATCAGGTTCCCTGTATTTAATTTTCACTCTTTTTCACCCAACAAATACAATTTTATTGACATTTATAAAAAACAAAAACTGAAAAATTGAAATTTGAAATTGTTTCTAAACATCTCATAACGAGTCAAAATATTTCGAAAATGTTATCAAGTATAGGAATTTTCTACATGAGAAATCGAGTATATATACATACATACATATATTCATACATACATACATACATACATACATACATACATACATACATACATACATACATACAATATACATACATACATACATACATACATACATACATACATACATACATAAACATACATACATGATACATACATACATACAACACATTTACTTACTGTGATGAAGAAGTGGCCTGCTTAAAAGTTGGCACCCCTATTGTAAAACTCAAATTGTGCCACTTTCTATAGGCACTACTCCACTTCTTCTGACACTCCAATCCTAAACACTAGCACACTTGCACAAAAAAACAAACAAATACAACAAATGGCAAAAACATTGGATAAAATAAAATAGCAAACGTAATACAATAAAAAACTACATTCAAATATGTCAAAACACAGGTCCGAAAAGAAAAGACGAAACTATTATAAATCACCATCGAATAAGGAATATACAATATACATCCAAAACACATAACCACCTCTTGACCATAAACGATTCGCCCGAATATATAAAACCTATGAAGTGGATAATATACCTTTAAGCATATTATTTTAACAGAATGCCAAATATATGAAGACATAAGAAACAATAGCACCACATACCACAAGAGAAGCATTACAACATTATAACTCTTTATCAAACATAAATATTATCAACTTCCTAAAGGAATTAAAACTAACTATAAATTATACAAATAATTAAAGCTTAAGATATTATATTTTAAATAAAATTTAAATTATAATTTTAACTTATGGTCTTGGATGACGGTGTTTTATTTGGATCAATAAAAAAATTAAAAATTATTCTATAGTAAACAAAAAACCGATTATAACCGAGATTAAATTCACTTATATAATAATAATAGAGTTACTTAATGAAATAAAAAGATATAATTATAAGTGTTTCGTCAAAAACATATGTATAAAGTAAGATTCAATTCAAATATTCAAAGGTATTCATACAATTAAAAACAAAAAATACAAATAATATCTAGCATATTTAAAGCATTTACTATGGCAAAATAAATCAAAAAGTTGTTTTAATATCTCAATCTCATATACCTAATACATTTTGTTGGTAGTTTTAAGTAATTGTATAGACCATTACTGAAAAATTCTAAAAATAAACTGCTTGAAGTACAGTAATTATCGAATGCTTAAATGTAACTCAGAATCTTTGCTCAGAATCTAAAATGCATTAAATATTTAAGAAAACTTACTTAATTTGTCCCTCGATTTCACTTTGTTTCTAAAGTAATAAAACTCATGACTAATTTAAAATCCGATGAATTTGAAACAACTAAAGTATAATTATTAAGTTACCTTAATTATTCAACATTACTTAGGATTCATATTACTATACGCGTATTCTATAAACTGTAGATTAAAGAAAGGGTGGCGAATTTTAATTCATTTGAAAATAAGAATAGACACAAAAGAGTTTTTACTTAAACGAGTTGAACGCAAGCAAAGCATTTGTCTTGGGTATTAAACTTCTTATAAGCTTAATGTGTCAGCGTACATTATGCACTGTGTAAAGATGATTAATGCGTTTACCGTCCTGTTTAGTGCGAGTACAATAAATGTATGTATATAGTATATATCATGTATATACTGTATAATATATATATATATATGAATCTGGGGAAATGACTTCTACAGCGAACAAAAAAAAAACAATTTTATTCGCCATCATTATTCGAACATATTTTTTTCTGACTTTTAGAAACAGTTGAGCAAAGGTTAAATATTTACTGAATAATAATAAAATACATAGACTACATAATATTGAATAACAAACTGACTGAGATTTATACGTTTGAAAATAGTTATGAAGTATATAGAACACACTAATACTTACAAGTTACAGTTTCCTTTCAATAATATTATAGGTAGGTTGTAAGTACTTCCCATGTTTAATGGACAATAAGAAGATACTTTCATTTATGAAAGCTAAGTTTTGTTTGTAAAACTAAAATATGTATTTAAAATAAATTATGAATATTTTCATAATGAAATCTCATACTATGCGTATTATATTGATTTAAAATATATTCGTCTTTGTAGTTTGTAATGCTAAGATGAATAAACAAGAATTTCATTTGATTTATTCAATATTGATTTATTTACCTGAACCTTGGGTTACTTACTCAATGGTGAGTTATTTTTCTGTTAAGAAGACGTTATTCAAACTTTAAGTTCTGAATAATCCATTTAACTGTGTTGTTTTTAGTATTATATTTAATTGATTTATTATCAAATTTAAACATAAAAAAAATTATCTATCCAATATTATCTAAGTGTACATTTTTATGTATATTATAGTACAAATATATACCTACTGTAGAAAAACGCCTTGAGAATAAATAAACATTGTAAGAATAAACCAGTATAATGTGTTAAATCATATGTTAATGATAATCTGGAAAAATTAACTACAGTCAATAAAATGTGTACTGAGAAACATAAAAAACAACAATTCCAATCTGTGTAAAAAGTAAAGTGGTAATGTATAGAATTAAAATATATTTATTATTCAAGTATAAACTATTAAAGTAAAAACAAAAACTCTTTATGGATTCCGGATGATGATTTATAATATACTTTCTTAAATTAAACATCAACCTTACTTTAAAAATTTAAAAAAAGTCTCTTTCATGTATAGTGTAGGTACCTCTTAATTGAGTAATTCACTGTAATTGTAGTTTTAAATTTGAATTAAATGTTAATAACTGCTACTTGCTAGCCTCTATTTCGAAGGATATATTATACCTATATATAAATTTAGTCTAAATATATATAATTGTATGTATAAATTTAGTCTAAATATTTTAAAAATTGTTGGGTGTGTATAAAACAATAATATACAAAATAGAAAAAAGTTTCAAGTCCCTATGGTTAGTAATTTTTGAAATTATTATTTACAACAAATTTACTAAGCTCATCGAAGCAAAAACATTAATTTAAAACTTCAAATATCTAATTTTAACTAAATATTTCGTTAAATATGCATTCCCCCATAATCCTTGATTTAATCGTTTAATTGACAAGAAGGTTTAATCTAAAACCTTATACCTAATATGTATTCAAAAATAAATAAATTAGGATTAAGCTATGTGTGGTTTTATCCATAATATTTTATTTGGTTCCAATAATTTTGATCACACATATTATTGAAGAAAACTATAGTTTTTGTATTGAGTAAATGGTTAAAAGGTTGCAAGACGAAAGCAACTTGCTTCAGAAAACAAAAGAAAAAAATATAAAAAAAAAGTTTCTTTACGTAGAATAAAATATAATATTAATAAGATTGATTTTAACTTTCAAGTAATTTGAACTATTTACTTAACGAAATATTTCCCGAACATTTGGAGCATATATTATCATAAATTCGTAATATATTATGAATTTCTCATAATATATTATGATATATATATATATATATATATATATATATATCTTTTACTTTCCGGCAGCTGCGCACTTGTCTGCGGGCGACTTTAGGTATGTGAAAATATACGGAAAATAATATATTTTCAAGTAGGTACCTACCTAATATCGATCTATATAATCATAATATATTCGCAATTTTTATCAAAAACTTTATTATATATTAATAACCAATGAGTTTACAAGTATACTATACTATACTCAATGAATGATTTAATGATTATACTTATACACAAATACAATTATTATTGACACACCACGCAGATGCTTTATTCATCGTATATTATGTTATATACCTATGTGTTAAATGTTTAACAACTTCCACTCGGTACTCGGTAAAGGTCGTACCACCTATTGTGTATGGTTATGCCTATAATTATATTATTGGACAACTGTCAAAACACACATACCGTCGAAAAGTGATTTCCAAGTAATAGATACCTGTTACAAGATTTGTTCAGATTAGGATATTACAACTCAAGACAATAATTATAATATAATATAGTCGTTAAATCTGTATAAATTGATCTATACACTCGAAAATACCCACGAAAAAAAGCAACAATAGTTTTTTGTGTTGGCAAATTTTTTTTTTAATTTAACAAACAAAAACAGTATGAAATATATAACGAATATAATTTCAAAAACGGAAATAATTTTGGAAACGGTTGCCGTTATATTATTATACAATTTTGTATGTTCAAAAAAAAAAAGGAAGAAACAAAAGAAAACGCCGAAATTTATAGAGTGAATATTATTGGAGATGAGTAAAGAGAATTTAAATGGAAAAAAAATACGACGGACAGGAGACACAATAAACTATACCACAATAACTGTACTACTACTACTATACCACTAACCACA